CCCTCCTGGTCTGTTCTCCCCGCCGCGGCCCTGGCGGCTGCGGAAAAAAGTTCAGAGGAAAAGTGACGCGAGCCGGGAGGCCTTCGGGGGCAGGGAACTGTGAGAAGTGGCCACAGTTAGCCCGGGCCGTGCTTCCCTCTCCAGGAAGTACTGGGTCTCTCCCCGGTCCGGGCCTTCCTGGGTACAACTGGCTTCCGCGTGTCCCCGACCCTGGGCGACCCGGCTCTCCCCACCACCCGCAGGTCGGCAGAACAATCGGCTTTTCTGCCGGCCACTGACGCTCATTGTACGGCAGAGAGATGAGGGCATCCGTGCCACCCCCCTCCCTCACCCTCCTCTCCAGGGAGAGAGCGCCCGGGTGGGGCAGGGGAACCATCTGGCTTCGTGGGGCATCTGTGCCCTTGAAAGTAGGTGCGTTTTCCTTCTTCCGTCAGAACTACACGGAAGCCGCATGGTTTCACCTCCCCCACCCAAGCCTTTGCTAGGTGGTGGACCGATGGCTGAATCCTGAGAGCCTCCTGTCTTGTGGCCTCGGTCCCTGAAAACTGGGGGCAAAGAAGGGGCTGATGTTGAACACATTTAAGCAAACTGCAGGATTTCTAGCACTTTTATGCAAATTACTATATGCTGCCTAACAAGCAACCGGCTGAGGGATGTATTTTTTCTAGTGGCACAGGTCTGAGTATTCTGTGTCCTTCTGGTTTTTGGGTTGGTCCTTTGGTCCTAATCAGGTTCGGGTTCAGGCTGGGGCATTAGTGTGAGTTCAGGCCCTTACTACGGTGCTGGGCTTTACCATTGTGCAAGCTTGTTGGCAAACACATAGTGATACCCTCTGCTCCCTGGGGACAAGTACTAAGAGGTCTCTGCCTTGGGACATTGTCACAGTGGCACCAGGGAAGCCTGCCGGGCTCTGATAGAAAGTTTATCTTGGAGAGCCTAGGATCTTAGTGGCCAACTGTTTTGACTTTTGGATCTGCCACTTAATACACATGTGACCATGGACAATGCCTCCGTTTCTTTTGGGGCTGGTCCTTGGTGCATGTATTACACGGGGTTTCCCCTGCAGCACTACTGTCCTCCCTCCCAGAAGATAGGTGGGCTGGAGCTGCCTCCCTGTCATCTCAGAGGCAGTTGGCATTTGGGGACTGGGTGCTGAGCTTCCCCTGCTCTTACTCAGCTGCTGCCTCCTGATCCTGCAGCCAGACACGGGCTTTTTTTGAGAGAAACTGGCTTGAGCCCTCAGCTGCTTTGAGGTGCTTCTTATCTCCTTAGTGCTGAATCTGGCCTGGCCCTGCTGAGTCTGCCAGTGAAGGACCCTTTGCCTTGGAGAGGATATTTGGAGTGGGAACAGTCAGACAGGGAAGGAAGTTTATTCTACAGAGGGTGTGGTGTGGCCAGGAGAAGCTTGCTGGAGAACTGCCCCCAAAGCTTCCTGCTCCTGTGGAGGATCTGGGGAGGTGCAGGAGAGAACTGAAGAGTAGGGCCTGCTAAGCAGGGTACCTCCGGTCCCCCTAGGACCCATCTTACTGGCCCAGGTAGTAGTTTCTTTTTATAACTGCAAAGGACTGCCCAGGAGCCAGCCAGCCTCACAGGGCCAGAGTAGCAACCTGCAAAGGTAATGTTGACATGTGATTGGTGACCAGTAAACATTTGATGAATAAATGGGTAGAAATGGGCTTTCTGCCAGAGATGCCCTTGTGCAGCCTCTTTTTCTGTGTGGACAGGGCTGTCAAACAGGGGCCAGGGGAGTGTTGACAAACGGGTCAGGGGCAGACTTTTTGTTTATTGTGGATTTCCTGCTGGGGAAAACAAATCGAGAAGATTTTCTGGGGGCTTGCTAAAGTTGGAAGTATTATGCAAGTCTGGCTTGTTGTGAGAAGTTGGCTTGCTAGAGGAGTTTGAAGAGGCTTGCATTAAGCATTCTGAGACTCGGGGAAAAGATCTTTTTTTACTCCAGCTCACCCATTTGCCATTATGCAAGCTTGTTGGCAAACATGTAGTGACACCGGCCTGAACAAGTGCTAGAGGTGGCCTTTCCTTAAGAGAACAGTTTGCAGATATCCGCACTTGCTGTGGGCCAGGACTATGCTGAAAATTTCATGTATATCCTCTTGGACAGTTTAGGAGTTAAGAGCTGATGCTTGCCATTTTGTGGATGAAGCTGAGGCCCAGAGGTGACAGGCACTTTGCTGAGATCTTAGCCATCCCTGGTGGAGCTGCGATTCCAAAGTAGTCTGTTTCCACAACCTATTATTTTTCTTTGCTACTCTACATTTTCTCTTTCCAGTTCTACTCATTAAGGAAATAGCTGGTATTTGTGAGACACATTAGCTTTACAAGACGCATCACAATGGCTTATAAATGAGTTAAAGGCGGATATGGCCTTGCGGGTTTTTATGCAGATGGAGCCTGTGGGGCCTGGTTAGCACTCATGATCTCTAAGTCTCACTGCTGCATGGCTTTGGGGTAGGGACCCTGCAAGTTCCTTTTCAGTTATGCTTTCACCAGATCTGATGGATGTTTGTGTTTTGGGGCCAGGTTCTGGGAAAGAAAAGAAGCCTGGAAAAGGGCCATGTTTCTTTTGGGGGGTGGCGCAGACATTAAAGCTGCTTGGGAAGGGAAAGGGGAGGTAGGTCCTGAGTTCTGACCGAGCCTTGCCTGCTGTTTCCAGATGTCAGGAATTTATATGGTAATGACGTGGCTTGTACTACGCATTGTCCCAGGAATTTGTCTGACGCCAGTATTGAGTCATTCCCATGTATGGTAAAGTGTGTAAATACGGAGGCAGCGAGTGTTTCCAGGCTCCGGTATTTCCAGTGCTTCCAAAGACCAGAAGCAGTGCCTGACTCCTCTGTGGTGACAAAGGTCACAGATGGAGGGCCTGGGGCAGGGCTTGGCCAGGGCAGGGGGCCCTCCAGGAGGGGCCTGGCATTCTTTACACAGGAGTGGCGTGGGCTGGAACTTCCTGAGATGTCAGCTGCAAGCAACCTGCGTTTATAGGTCCTAAGTACTCATTTGTTTTTATTTTTTAAAAATTAAGCAAAGAACAATCATTCAGACTTTTTTGTTCAGCACATGAATTTACCTGTTAGCAAAGTGAATTGACGTCATCCCAGACAAAAGCAAAGAAAGGCAACCTGTTAATTAGTCTGTGAAGCCTGACTATAATACGGGATTTCCTTTTCCAGTTTTGTAGTATTTAAAGAAAGTCATAGAGCTGGGGAGCTGTAGCTCAGTGGCAGAGTACGTGCCTAGTTTGTGCCAGGCCCTGAGTTTGATCCATAGCGCTACAAAACACCAAACCAAAGCAAAACAGAACAAAAAAGTTATGGGCCCCCATTTCCACCTCAATATGACCTTCATATTTCAGAACTTCAGAGCTTTGCTGTAAAAGGCGTTAGGGGACCAGTGGGGAAATGGAGAGCTATAACATTGCCCCTGGCAACTCACAATCCTACAGTGACACATGGATTTGAAAAGAGAAAAGTCCTGGCTTGGAGAGAGGAAGAGAGCTCTGGGCTGATGTTGCAGTCAGGTTCTGGGGTTCTTGGGGCCTGGAATAGAGAATCCTGGCCCAGTGATATGGTTGACTTCTCAGAGAGACTTGATGTGTGCAGGGCTCTAGAGAAATCATGTGTTGGGCCTTAAAGCTGAGCCGGATCTCAGTTGACCACCCCAACACACACACACCAGGGACCATTACCTTCAAGTCTATTTCTTAGGCTCTCAGGAGTCACCTTGAAGATGCCGGCTCTATGGGCTGAAATAAGTGGCCTCCTGCTTCCTTTTCTGTCGTTGGCTGTTCTCTGGACATGTGGAGGAGGAGGCTTAGCTGTGGGTTTGGAAAGGATGACAACACTCTTTCATACCTGACAGATACCAAACATCAGGTAACTGGGCAGCACATTTCTAACCAGATAAACACTTGACAGGTCTCTGCTGGGCCAAGAGGATGGAGACTTAAGCCCTGTGCTCATCAGTTACTCTTTGGCCCTAGGGAACAAGTAATTATGGAATGGGAGAGATGAGATTTTTCCACTGGTACAATAAAAATGTGGGATGGTTTGTCAAGGGGTTGAGAGGGGGCCCTCCTTCTGTCATTGGTGGCTGGCAGGTTAAAGATTGTATATCCCTGAGATGATTCCTTAATTTGAAGATAACCCACCTCTGCCAACTTTCAGGGGATTTGGGGTGAGCATGAGAGTCTGTGCCCTGTGTCCACTCCTTACTCTGCTGCTGTAACAGCTGCCATCTCGGATCTCTCCTCCCAAGATTGAGGATCTGGGTTCAGCTCTCAGTGAGACAACTAGACCAAGAAGCCAGCTCAAATTAGCTGATCATTAGGAGGCTAGCCATTGGTGTCTAGTCTCCAGCCAGCCCTGAGGATACTGACATTTCAGGTGAACAACTGATTGGATAGTTCCAGTCATGCCGCAGAACATTCCAATTGTATTCCATGGAGATAATCAACACAGCAAAGTAGGACAAACCAGAACACAGAGATGGCAATTTCCCATGGGGCTGTAACTCTCAGAAGGAAACCCACCGTAGACACTGTGATTACAGAAGATAGGAGGGATTTTTGACTGCCCAGAGCCATATGCAAGAGCACTTGATGTAGGACACAGGTCCCCACCCTAGGCATCAGGTAGCCAGGGGAAGTAAGCCCCAAAGAAGGGCAAGTAGCTTGTCTCAGACTCATTAGCTGGTCTGACAGCTAATCAGGAATCACTGTCTCTGTTTGGCCTGTTATTCTTGAGTCTTGTTCCTTCCAGATGTGGATGAGCACACAGGAGAGTAACCACTTGTGTCCACCTCTGGTAGGGTAGGTAGGGTAGGGTAGTGTCACAGCCACCGGGCTGTAGCAGTTGCGCTAGCGTTGTCAGAGGTGTGACCTGGGCAGCGTGCTGGCTCTGAGCCTTTGCTGCCATCCACTTTCATCCAACCCTTGGACCTGGTTTTAGGAGTCAGTGCTCCATCTTAGAGATAAGAAACTAAGCTAGCACAGGAAAGCCCCTTTCCTTAGACCACTCAGCCAGGAAGGGGTGCATCTGGTCTCAGCTCCCATTTCCTAACCACTGACTCACATAGCCTGAACTCTGAGCTAGGGAACTGTTTCTAATTTATTTTTTGTCTTCTTAAAAAAAAGCTAATTAAGTTTATTGGTATAATTTAGATATAGGGAACTGTTTTTGGCCACAGCCTCCGCGGGTCTTCTGTCCCCCAGGACTTCAAAGGCAATTGAGAGGGAGCCAGTAGGCAGACACTCCACAAAGCGAGAAACAGCTTTCCTTTTAAGGCAGTTCAGCCTCCCCACAGCCAGAATCTGGCTGCTGGAGAGAAAGGGCTGGGCAGAAGGGGGAAGGGACACCTGGGACTCTTTGCCAAATGCAGGTACCCTTGGGGGGGCCCTCATCTGGGCAGAGGGGACATGGAGCCCATTGGGGCTGCGAACCCCTTCCTGGCTATGGCCAGTCTCTCTGCTTCTCATCTGGAGGCCTAGAGGCCTGACCCATCGCCAGGCTCCGGAGGGAGGCCCCCACCCTGACACCAGGCTCATAGGAATGGCGGCCCAGCCTAGCATCCTGAGCAGATTTCCCCACTGACAGCTCCTTGGGCTTCACCCATCTCTGCGGCCATGTTCCTGATTCCCCGGGGCCCTGCTGGATGTGGGCCCTGACATAGGGCTCGGGAGAACAAGGGGAGGCCTGTACAGAGCTGTGGGTCTCCCCCAGAGGGAGAAGGGCTTTTGTTTCTGGGAACAAAACACTGTTCGGAACTGGCTCCCCACCACGTGGTTGGAGAACTTTCCTCTCTTGGGGTGTCCCCAGGGGCATGAGTGTGTCCCTGCTGGTCCAGGGTGATGGAAAGGGAGGAGAGGGCCAGGAAGAGAGGCAGTGTCCGGGCACTGCATCCCTCTGTGTGCAGCCACTTCCAAAGGAGCCTGGCCCACAGATAGTGACAGGAACTCAGGACACCTGCATTAGAATCCAGTTCTGTCTCTTTCTACCTGTGTGGCTGCCATTCCGAGCCTTCTTTTCCATATCTGTACAGCGGGCACATACTCACTGTCTTCAGGAGGCAATCGGTGGCAGTCTGAGCATCTCAGCTGCAGAGTTCTGTTGAGGCACCTCGGGAGGAAGGGAACCTGTGTGACTGAACACTTTCTCACAGGCTTCCCAAGCAAAGCCGTCCTCATATCTCACTGGCCAGAAGTGGCCCGGCGCATTCCTGAACCAGCCACTAGCAAGGGTATGGAGTCACTGTGATTGGCTTAGGCAACTCAGGCTCTGTCCCTAGGATTAGGGATGTGACACTGAGTCAGTTGTCATTTGGGAGGTTCCTGTGGTAAGGAGAAGGGAGCGAAGCTGGCGGGCAACAGACAGCAGAGCTTGGGGCTGCTCCTGTGCAGTCGTTTTCCACACGTCTCAGGTGGCTTTGCCGTCCCATTGGTCAGTAGGGACACTTGGTCCCTGGAGCTCTCAGGACACCAGAGGCTGGGAACAGGGAGGCAGGGGGATACTGCCTATGGTTGGAGATCCTGCTTGTGGGGTGACGTGTGTGAGTGGAGGTCGGTCCAGAATCTAGAAAGGGGGAAACTGGGCTCATGCAGTGGACAGTGGTCCCTCCAGTCCCCAAAGGAGAGGACAGCGGCACTCATACTGTGCAGGGCCTCTCCAGCCCCATGTGTGGGTGTGACCTGGGGCTTCCTACATGCCTGAGCCTGAGCCGGGCACTGCAGGGGTGGAACACGGGTGTTAAGTCACCACCTAGGACTCAAGGTGAAGGAGCAAGAGACACCTGGAAAGCAAGCAGAGACCTGGGGGAGGATGGGGTTATCTGCAGGCACAGGGCCCCTGGTGGGTTCTGACCAGGCAGGCAGATGCTCCTTGAGAAAGATCTGGCTGGCAGTGTTCGAGGACAGACTGGGACACCCCTCCAGACAGTCCTGGCTGTCAGGGTGACTGTAAAGTAACAGGCTTGAACAGTAGGGTAATTTGATGCTTTGTCTAACTAGAGTTCAAAGATAGATCAAATTTGGGTTTAAGTCCATGTCATCTAAGATTCAGTTTTCCATGTCTCTCGGTGGTCACCTTCATGCCAGGACTGTCCCCCTCTCCTATGGCAACAACCCCAGAGCTCCCTGTGTGCCTGCTTGGGGGTGGGGGTGGGCACTTGCTCCCAGGGAGCTCTCCCAGAAGACAGGATGCTTTTGCTTTCATTCCAGGGACCTGGAAACCCCTTCTCCTATCCCGCTGGCCTCGCATACCCCGGAACCCATAAACTTGACTGACCACATTAGGGCCAGGCCAGCACCATGGCTGAAAGGGGACTGGTGCCCTAGAGAAGGGAGAATGTGGCAGAATCCTTGGCAAGAGGCTGACACAATCACCTGGCTAAGGCTGAGACCATCAAGCTGGTGGAGCGCGCAGAAGAGGAATAGGGAGGAGAGGCTCCAGAGAGGTGGTAAACCTGAGTGCTCATGTGGGACTGGAGTGGTGGGTAGAGGGGAGCAGAGCAGGATGCAGCTAGGGGAGGGTAAACAGCCCATCCTTCCTTAGTGGGGGAGATGGTGGTCACGTGCAGAAATGCAGAAGTCAGGAGGGCTCCTGCGTGAATCGAGGCACCCAAGATTGCACATATGAGCATGGGATTGGAGGAGAGGCCAGTGCCACCCACATGTGGGTCCTTCATGCGGAGACGGCACGAGCCTGGGGACAGCGTGGGACTGGAGGGAACTCCAAGTTTTAGAATGTGGGAGTGGAAATGTATCTCTCCTCCACTCCCATGAAACTTGCTGAAGACCCCCATCACCTTGATAGTGGCCCAGGAAGGGGTGGAGCTGGCATCAGCAATGCCACTGCCCCACCTGACAGCTGCTCTCAGCCTGTGCACTCACTGGTCACCTCCGCTAGGTGCCAGGCTCTGCAGAGACACCTGGCTCTCGGCACCAGGCCCTCCTTCACTCACTCCTCAGCTCTGTATTGAACACCTGTGTGCCAGGTGCGCTGCGGGTCAAGGGAACTCCATGTGAGCACTGCCTGCACCCTCTTCCCTGGGCAGAGGACATCAGACAGGAAGCCCTCCTGTGTTGAGCCTGAGGGTCTTTGCCGCTGACTCTGCAGCTGCCAGCTCAAGTTGCGTGACCAAAGGGGTGGGCTCTGGATGCCACCTCTTGCTTTTCACAGGTCGGGAGGTGGTGGCGCCTTTTAGGCCTCTTTGCCTCCTGAGGCAACAAGCCCCTTCCCTGGCTCCCTGCATCTCCCACTCACCAAGTCCTGGGGTACCTCAGCACCCACCTCATGCCCACTGTTGTTGACTGTGGCCCCCTTCCTTTCATGAGCTTCTACCAAAAGAGCTGGAAGGGTCCTGTCCCTCTTCAGTCATACGTCTGTCGGTGATGGAAGGGAAGGAGAGCAATGGATCCCATCAGCTTTCGGACTTCCTATTTTTCTTTTTTACTGCATGTATGTATTCTGTGCTACTTTTTGGCAAATCAAGCACCGACCTGTGTATCACCTGTCTTGTAGTCTTTAACTTATGTGTTCATAATCATATTTCAGGGCTTTGACATACCATACCTCACTTAATCCCCAGAAGCACTCTATGAAGTAGCTTCTGTTGTCCTCTTCCTTTCGCGGATACAGAAATCAATATTGGGAAGGGCCGGCTACCTCACCCAGGGTCATCAGCCAGTGAGTGGCAGAGTCAAGATGAGGCCAGACTTTCTGGCATCAGGCCCGCAGCTCTGAACCAATGCACGGAGAATCACAGAGTTGGTGGAGGCCACCTGCTTTGGATTCACCTGGGATACTTTATTAAATATTCGGATTCCTCATTCTCAGAGGTCATGATTCATTAGATCTGGGGTGACATTACAAAATCTGGTTTTGCAAAACCCTTCCTCTGATCGTATGGTACCCTAAAGTCTGAGGGTGGTGCCCTATCCCCTGCATTTTTTGAAATGTTTTTCTTCGAGCTGTGTCTTACATATAAAAGAATGTACATGACGTACATATAGAGCTCAAAGAGTAATTATAAAGGAATTGTGCATGTGACAGTCACCCAAGTCAGTACTGTGGCAGACCCCCTGGTGACTCCCACCCTACCACGTTCCTTTATCCATCCCAGAGGGATGCTCATTCCCTTGCTTTTCTGTAACACGTCTGCCACCACGTGCTCCCCTCTCAACAACAGGAGCTTTGCCCATGTGTGGACTCACACAGATGGACTTGTGCCTCGGGAGCTCTGGCTGGTCTGCCCGTTTTGTGCCCATTCTCTTTGTGAAATGCACCATGTTGGTGCGGGTAGCGGCACCTGGCTCATTCGCATCAGCCAGAGGGTGCAGCACCCTCTGGAAAGCCTGGACCACGTGCTCACTCATTCTCTTGTGAGTGCCTCACTCAGGACTGATCGCCCAGCGTCCGCTCACTATCTAGATTAGTCCGGGGCCCGGCCCCCACATAGCAGCCGGAGGATGCTGAGAACGAGCAGGAAGGGATCCACCAGGACTGGCGGTCTGCGTGGGAGGCCTGCCTCTCCCATGCCCCTGTCTCTGCCTGCTTCTGTCGTGGGCAGGCCATGTTTCTGTGAACTTAATTCCCATTTCTGTGCCCTTTTTCAGAATGCCGAACTGGGGAGGAGGCAAGAAATGCGGGGTGTGCCAGAAGACGGTTTACTTTGCTGAAGAGGTCCAGTGTGAGGGCAGCAGCTTCCATAAGTCGTGCTTCCTGTGCAGTGAGTACCGCCCAGACCTGCTGTCACTGCCGGGAGGACAGGGACCTGGCCTGCCCCCACACGCTGGGCCTGTCGACACCCCAGGGAACTGGTCCCAGGGGATGTAAACAGCTTGACATTTGGCTGAGGCACAAGCTGGGGAGGAAAACACTTAAGGGCCTCTTTGTTCCCTGCAGAGGTTGCTTTCTGAGGGGTGAGCCTGTCCGAACTGGTGGGGGTGGCGGGTGCACAGGGGCCGAGAGCCAAGCTGGAAAGATTTGGTTCAGAAAACTTTCCACTGGGCTCCCCCAGTACGCCACCCCCCTCCCTGAGCTACAGTCCTGTGATTTCAGAGGAAGGCACTTTTGGCCCAAAGTTTCACTAGCTTTAGATCGAAATTATCTCTTGCTAAAAGGCAATGGAAGGCCACAGCCTGAGAGTGCAGGCCAGTGCGGAGGAGGAACGAGGCCTGGCCTTCCTCAGCCCAGGACAGGCCAGCAGCCGGCTCTCACTCCCTGCTGCTCTCAGCCTGCAAGGAGAGGAGGAAGGGCACAGCATTCAGCACTCTCCACTCTTACTCACCTGGAAAGACAGCTGCTGCAAGTCTCAAGCACAAGATACTGAGCAGCTGAGAGAGGCCAGCTGGACCCTGGTGCTGCACTGGCCGGTACCCTGGCCGGGTGATTGTCCGGGAGGTGGCAGTTTGAAGAAGCCTGTCCTTAGATTCCTAAGTGATTGGCTGCCTTGGAGGGGGAGGCAACTCTGGCAAGATGCGTTTCCTTGAGGGTAGGCCTGGGGAGGTGGTGGGATGTCTGGGTTTCCCCGAGATACTCGTGTATGCATGTGTGCTTGCACATGTGCACACATGCTAAGGGGTCACAGCAAGATGGTGGGTTACAGAGGAGCTCGGTGGGGTTGAAGTTCCAGCCCGTTTGGGAGATCTAGAAAAAGGGGCTGTCCCGCATCCCACGAGGTCGGCCGGGAGGTCTGATGTTCCTTTGTTCCCAGGTGGTTTGCGCTCCAGGATAGGGATCCAGAGAGGTCAAGGACCACCTCCCCACCAATATTCTCAGCTCACTACCTCCTTCAGGCAGGGCGGTCTGAAGCCATCAGAGCAGCCGGGCCTGGATACCGCCCAGGGCTTGGAGTGACAGTCTCAGGGCTCCCCTGATGACTGGGGGTTGACAGGCTTCGGTGGAGCTCTGCTGGCTTCCAGTCCGCACACAGCAGCATCTTGTTTTGTGCAGCTCATCAGTTCAGGAGTTTCAGGCGCTTTCTCTTGAGAGGGAGTAAGAGAGGGGCTTGGCGCTGGCTGGGAAGGGGGTCCAAGCTGCTGGGGTCAGAAGGACGCCTCTCTTTGCTCTCAAATGTTGTTTAAGCATAGACTAAAAGGGGCCAGCTGTGGCCTATGCCTTCCTGCAGGCCTGCTGTGGAGGCGTAGCTGTTGGTCAGGCGTAGATGAAGTCAGGAATTCAGGGGGTGGCAGAGGAAGGAAGAAGCAGGGCCTGGGGTGACAGGGATTAGAAACAGTTGCAGCAAGTGAGGCAGGGGGGACAGTGGGTGTGGTTATGTGACTGGCACCTCTTGGGGACAGTCACATCTCTAGGGTTTTCGGGCATGGTCAGTTCCAGGGTGTCAGGACTCCAAGTAGACCAGGTAGAACCTGTGTCAGCAGATAGTCATCCTAGGTGCTCATGCCTGGGGCCTGGAGCAGTGCCAGCACTTGGTGGGCTCTCCAGGGACTTGCTGAGGCATGGAGGGAGTGTTGTTTCTCTTTTTCAGTCAAGTGAGTCACATGTCCAGCTTGAGTTCAGGGTAACCCACAGAATCAAGGGACTTTCCCTCCAACAGTCCAGACCCGAGTGGCACTAAGGGTCATCCTTCTTGTTAGCCTGGCCTGTGCAGGTCCCCCAAAGAGATTCTTCTGATCCTATCTGAGTTCAGCTCAGCATGGCACCCTCATTCCTTTTCCAAGGTCTGGGAGGGGCAAGAGGAAGACAGGGATAATGTAAGAGGCCATGTCAGGCAAGAACCACTTCCCCTGGGCTCACTTTTGGCCTGGAACCAGGACCCAGAGGCCCTGCGGCACACCGTGTGGTCTCAGTAGGGCAGCCAGTTCCCCTTAGCAGGTGGTTCAGAGCCTGGAAGGAGAGCCCAGCTGAGGTGGGAGCTGCCCCGAGGCTGTGCCCAGCTCTGGGCCACGGTGAGGGTGGGCAGTCAGCCTTGGGAGAAGGGTCAATCTGTGATGGTGATTAATGGGACGGAAGCCATTCACCAGTCAGGAGCACAGAGGAAGCTGGGCAGCCTTGCACATTCTCTGACCCTCAAGCTGAGGGTTAAGGTCAGTTTTCACCCTTTTGCCCTGTCCCTCTCATGCTTGGCCTACTCTAGAAGAACCGTGGCCTGCAAAAACCAAGTCTGAACGTGAGGAGCTGGGGTCTGACCTGTCCTACTTCTGGCTGGCTCTGAGCTTAAGCTTTTTTTGTGGGTCTGGGTTTTCCTTCCAGAAGCAGAAGAATCACTGCTTTTTGAGGGGGTGAAGGGGCTGCCTCTTCCTTGTATTTGAAGTATATTTTCCCAGCAACACGCTATCTTAGTTTTTTCTCTTTTAACATGATTTGATAGAAATGTACTCAGGTTCCTCAAATAAGGACTATGTTTGAAATTCCCCTTGATTGAATCCTTGGAGGACCTTACAAGTGAGCTGAGTTCTGCATTTGGGTGGAGGTGCAAGGACAGAGGGCCACAGGGGGCAGGACTATGCCTCTGAGACAGACAAGGGAGAACAGAAAGGAGCTTACGGGCTCTTATGTCTCCTGGGCTGAGTTTCTGAGCCTCTCGTTGGAGAATCAGTCAAAAGAGGCCTTGTGCCCCCAACTACTCTTTGCCGTCTGCCTTCCCTCTGGTCTTAGAATTCCCAGTTCAACTTAGGTCTTTTGGGAAACAACTGCAGGCTGATTCCTGACTTCCTGCCCTAGAAGGGAACGTTGGGAGCCAGTGGCTTCTTGTTCCCTCACCCGCCTTCTCAGAAGCCAAGCCCCGGGGGAGGTGGTGGGAGGTTCCTTATTTGGGTGACCCAGAGTGCTGGAATGAGGTGGAGATCTTGAGGGCAGGACAAGAGGGTCCTTATTTAGTCTGAAGCCTCCAACCTGGGGCTCAGGCAAAAAGAGCTGGCCAAGGACCCTTTTAAAGGCAAGAGAATGCCAGGCTACTAGGAACCAGCCTAGAACCTTCTCTGAGGGAGATAAGAGGAGGCGTGGCTTATTCAATGGTGTCCATAGACTCTAGCTTCAGGAGGTGTTGGAGGACACAGTCCAATGGGACACACCGAACTCCAGCATTTAGGGACTTTCACAGAACCTCATTAGCATACAGGAAGAGAGCAAAACGAATGGAGTGAAGTTGAGTCTCGGTAGAGTAGTTGGCTTGTGATTCCTTCAGGCCTGCCCTCCCCGCCCCTGTGGTAACAGGGTATATAATACTAATACAAGTAGCAAACATATATACGCACCCATTATGTGTAGGGCACTGTGCTAAGTATTTTCATGTATAAGGTCTTTTGAGTCTCAACCACCTTTTGGGGCAGGTGTTATTAATTGCATTTACAAAGGGGAACACTGAGGCTGGAAAGGTAAAATAACCAGCCCAAGGGCACACGTGGGGAAAGGGACAGAGCTGGAACTTGATTTGGGCTCTTAACCTTTCTGTGCTGACAGCTGGCACAGCTCCCCCGAGATCAACCGGAAGATGTGTGAGGCCCACAGAGTTTTCATGCTCATCTGCCCGTCCCATCTCTCTTACCCTGTGGGTCAGGAAATTCTTCCCCATGTCCAGCCTCATTCCTCTCTATGGTAAAGTGATTTCTAAAACTGGAAATTTCAAGTCCTTCTGGAAGTGGTGGTGCACACCTAAAATCCCAGCTCCTACGGAGGCAAAGGAAGGAGGATCAGGAGTTTGAGGTCAGCCTGGACAAGTTTGTGAAACTCTGTCTCAAAATTGGAAAAAATAAAATAAATAGCTGGGGATTTAGCTCAGGGCTCCCTGGGTTGTTCCCAGTACCATGTACCATGGAGATGAAGGAGGAGGAGAAGGAGGCAAAAGACAACAGAGGGAGGACAGAGGAGGAGGGAGCAGGAAGAAACTTCGTGTCCTGTTGTGAGTAGGTTGACTTGCACCTCATTGCAAAACCCAGCAAGCCAGGAACTTAACACCTGCTAAACTTCTTTTTTGCAGTACCGGGGATTGAACTCAGACCTTGCACTTGCAAGGCAGGCGCGATGCCACAGAGCTAAATCCCTGGTCTGAAACTTCTTTTCAGGGTGCACAGCTCTACTTCCCATCTCCCAGCTCCCACTGCACGCACAGATCATAGATTGCCTCCTGTCAATTCCATTGTTGGAGGCAGGAAAACCCTGCCCTTTTTCCTTCCTGTCTGTTTCTCCCCTGCTCCTGGAATATATGGTCTCTTTATTAAAGGCAGAGTGCAGAGCTTCGTTTGACATCCTGTGGCTTGGAGTGAGCCGAGGCCATTGCCTGTATATTCTGGGGTGTACCACAGCCCGGGGAGGAGTGCCCACAGATTCCTAGAAGTGGGGCTTGGCCACCTAGAGTCAGGCATGCAGATCCCACCCCAGTCCTCCAGTTTTTAGACTCCCCGACTGGACGTCATTTCTGCATCCCTTCTGCAAGGTCAGGATAGTGCATGTGTAAAGTGCCTGAAGAGCTGCAGTTGCAGGGGACCCAGGGAGCAAGCTGCTCATCCCAGCTGCATCTCGCCATTTTCCCTCCACAGTGGTCTGCAAGAAGAATCTGGACAGCACCACTGTGGCTGTGCATGGAGAAGAAATCTACTGCAAGTCCTGCTATGGCAAGAAGTATGGGCCAAAAGGCTATGGCTATGGGCAGGGTGCAGGCACACTGAGCACTGACAAGGGGGAGTCACTGGGCATCAAGCATGAGGAGTGAGTATAAGATCGTTTATCACGTTTTCTTGGTTTCTCTTCCTTAAGACCCCCCCCACCATGTTGAATATTCTTAAGTGCTTATAATTAAACAACGGAAGGCTCAGAAAGACATTAATTTAAAAGGGGATCCACAGCCTATTGGAGGAGCTGAGGACCCAGCCCGGAATGAGTCAGGCCAGCCTGGAGTGGGCATCCTGTATTACCATAGGCATCAGAACTGGGAGCTGCCCCAAGAATTGCTTAGACCAATTTTTTCACTTTATACTTGAGAAAACTGACCCCCCTCAAGTGAGTGAGCCATCCCAGCTGCCTCAGCCTCTCTCTCGGCTCTGCCATCTTTCCCTGTCAAAAGGAAGTCATTTCCTTGCCCTAAAGCTCTCCATGGCCTCTGCTCTTCTGGTAAAGGATGGCTGTCGGCTGTCGGCTCTGGAGGGCTGGATGGAACTGATGGGCCACTTACCTAGTTTCAGCCAAGGTCATTGCCCCACTGGGAATGATCGGTCAGCAGATTTTTCCCACAGTGCATCTGATAACGGACCAGCTGGAGAAATGAGGGCCAGGGAGGGTGATTCTTAACAAATGAGGTATCATGTGAGTCCAGAAGCTGATGCGGAGCCTTGCTTTGTCCATCTGTAATGTGGGAGATGACCCAGAAGGCCCTGCTAGGCCTAGCTTTTGTGACTCTGGCTAGGAGCTGCCCCAGCCTTGGTGTGGTGGAGATGGGGTCCTGCCTTTGCAGGGCCAGCCCCCTCTATTTGTGAGTGTAATTCATCTCACCTCACACCCTTTCCAAAGCAGCGTCCCTGGCCACAGGACCACCACCAACCCCAATGCATCCAAGTTTGCCCAGAAGATTGGTGGCTCTGAGCGCTGTCCTCGCTGTAGCCAGGCCGTCTATGCTGCGGAGAAGGTGATCGGGGCTGGGAAGGTAAGGTGCTGCTGGGGACGGGGAGAGAGAGAGCCACGCCTTCCTGACATGTGGAGCCTGGAACTGTCTGCTCAGGGCAGTCTGAGACCTAGGCTCTATCCCCTTCCCATCCAGAGAAGGCGTAACTGTTTGTTTCTGTGGTTTTCTGAGGAGCTCACATCCCTGTGAATAGTAACGTTGTCAACATACAGTCCACAGGGAGTCGCAGCGTCTGTACTCTAGAGTTGAGCACCATAGGGTTTGAGGGTATGAGAGGGTTCCCCTAAAATTACATGTGAAGTTTTGTTTTGTTTTGTTTTTTGGTACCGGGGATTGAACTCGGGACCTTGTGCTTGCAAAGCAGGCAGCAGCACCACTGAGCTAAACCCCCAGCCCAAAACAGCCATTTTTTTTTTTTTTTTTTTTT